GTCCTGTACTTCATTCGCTTTTTAACAAATCCGTCTTTTTGAAAATATGTCAAGGTATATGGAATCTCAAATATAATAATCAGAATTCATGGTGCAATTTAAATAAATGTACCAAAAGGTACCAGTTATCTCAGAACACCGAGGTCTCAGTTGTTTGAAATGTGGACTTTGGATGCAAAGTGCCATTCATTCTGAATTTAAGAAAGCCTGGACTGCTTTTCTCCCAAATCAGAGTTACTGTCATGTCAAAAGGATGATTTACTGCTGTGCTGTCAGGAGGTAAATGTGATATCCAAAAACATCACTGGCTTTTGATATTTCTGTGCGATGCAGAGACATTTTTGCCTGACAAACTGAAACAGAGAAAATTGAAAATGTGCTCCCAGTCTTTTCTCAATGTTCACTTGGTTTTATTCTTGGCCAAAAGGAATTTTTCATGTGTCCTGGCTGGTTCCTGGCCTTTGCATGGAACAGAAACAGGAAAGGTTTTCTCTCTACCACCAATGCCTTACTGGATTTCTTTACACAATTGCACAATGTACTTCCTCCCTGGAATTGTTTCAATATGATAAACCATTTTCATTATTGGTTGTAGTCAAGTTGCTTCCCAAATAAGGAAACTCTAACAAGGGTTTTGAGATATGTGAGATGTTGTAGGAGTGGTTCACCATTGCCGAACCCCAGTGACTTTCTACGGCCAAGGCGTGATTTGAACTCCGGCTGCCTCCTGAGTCCTTGTGTGACACTTTGTCCCTTACTCCATGCTGTCTGTCTATTTTCATTATATAGGACATATTTCCCATAATATGCCCCATAAAATTATTTATTAGAAATACTTCATAAGAGAAATCACATTGTCTAAATCAGCTCTATGAATGAAGAAACAGGAAAGTATATGAGGAAATGGGGAAAGGGTGTAAGTAGGAATGTATGCATAGCAGCACACAAATGTATTTTCCCCATTCAGTCAGGTGAGCACATTAGTTGGTACAACTCTGTGCTGTCAAGTCAGCTCTGGTTTATGGCAATCCTTCCCAGGGTTTTCTAGGTAGAGAATATACAGAAGTGGTTTACCCTTCACTTTTCCTAGGGGCGTCCTGGGATTGTGAAGTTTGCCCAAGGCTGCAAAGGCTGGCTCTTTTCTCTGGGGGCACAGTAAGGAATTGACCTCTGGCTCCACAGTCAGATGCTTAAACCACTGTGCTATCCAGCCAACTCTAAGCACACTAGAAATGGGTAATAAAATGGATAATATACTTTCCCAAAGTGCAGCACTTAGAACAATTTTACTCATATTTCAGCAGTCAGATTACTGTTGCTCTTGTCATTGTACTTCTCTCAGTAACAATTAATTGCATTGCTTTTTATTCATATGGTGAATTTCCCCAGCAATCAGCAAAATATAATGAAATACGCACTAGTAGTTAATTCTGGTATTGCACCTTGAGAAGACAAAAAGACAGAGCAAAGCAATACTTTCCTTGCCACGCAGAATAGATAAGGGAATGGCCTAAATTGTTGGTTCTAAAAATGCTTTAAAATAAATGTAACTTATGTAAGTGCAACTTATTTTAAGTGTTACTTTAAGTTAATTATTAATTTACTTAAAGTGTGACTTTTGAAAAAACTAGAAAACATTGCTATTTATACCAAAATGTAATTGTACAACTACTTTGGCTTTTTAAAACACTGACCTCATTATACTCTCGTTACCCACAATTATTAAGTTACAGGTAACTGCATTACTCATAGCTGGTTACTTCCAAAATGAGCTAATATATATTGTAACTACAAAAGGCACTCTTGCTTCTGTTCATATGTTATGGAGATACAATTTCCCTTATGTGGGAAACAAAACACATACAGTATTGGCCTAAATCCTCTTGCTAATCCTAGCTAGACTCACAGATTCAACTGTTGAATTGTGAGTTTACACATAGGTAAATCCCATTGATTCAGCGGGTCGAGATTAGGAGAGGATTTTAGCCAATGTATCTCAAAATATTGTGGCCTTTTAAAAAGATAATAAATTGCATCATTCTCGAGGATGAAGTTGAAAAGTACATTTGCAAGGAGACGAGATGGAAACTTTTGCTTTATGTTTTTTCCCTGGACTAGTTCCATTCACTGTCATATTTATTTTTAACATATATTGTTCCAAAGCATACATAAGGGGAAAATATGTTGTAAAGAGGAGACAGCTGAGTGCCCTTCTCATTTATGTTGGGACTACCTGGTAGTCTAACTAAGATAAATCTGCAGATTCAACTAGCTGAACAGCATGTGTCAGCATGTATGTGAAACCCTGTTGATTCTATCCGTCTACTCTGAGCAGATCTCCCAGGCAAGATGAAGTGTTTCCCCCCAACAGATGCATGTAGCAAAACAAATGTTCATCAAAATCAAACCATGTTGTTTGTTTGCACAGAATACAACTTACTAAAACCAATGGAGGGACATGGTGGCGCTGTGGGCTAAACTGCAGAAGCCTGTGCTGCAGGGTCAGAAGACCAGCAGTCGTAAGATCGAATCCACGCGATGGAGTGAGCGCCCGTCGTTTGTCCTAGCTCCCACCAACCTAGCGGTTCGAAAGCATGCGGATGCAAGTAGATACATAGGGACCACTTCGGTGGGAAGGTAACAGCATTCCGTGTCTAAGTCGCACTGGCCATGTGACCACGGAAGATTGTCTTCAGACAAAACGCTGGCTCTATGGCTTGGAAAAGGGGATGAGCACCGCCCCCTAGAGTCGAACACGACTGGACAAAAATTGTCAAGGGGAACCTTTACCTAAAACCAATGGGGGGGGGTTTAACCCTTTTTGTTTCCATGAGCTCTCTTCCCACATACATGTGTGTAAAATTGCACCCTTATTTGTCAGAAGGCATCTTTTTTTGTGAACAGGCAGCTGATTTTGTAAAATCTGAGCAAAACTGAAACTCTCCTATTTTTCTTGTCTTTTTTTTATTTAAGAGCTTACTCTATGATATTGTTTTCTACTAGGGTAATTACTTAAATTTTTATGGGTCACGTTGTGATCTGGTTATATCAACATATACCAAATCAGCTCCTCTGTAACTGATGCTGTGCCCTTTGAAGGCAGCACAATTAGATCTAGGCCAGACTTTGCTCATTCAATTGATATGCAAAATGTAACACGCCTGGATCAGTATGATTAACACAACTGACATAACTACTGCAACGTGAGCTTTTTTGTGTGCTGTTGCTGACCTTTCATTTGTAGCAGCTTTCATTTGTACAAAATTATTTCCAGGTGAGCTTACTGTGATCCGATAGCTGATGTTATTGTAAATACCTTTGCAAATCTCATGAGGAACACTGCTTTCTTTGTAACTTCCTGATATGGAATGACATCGAATTCTGAAACAGCAGAGAGGCTATGTTGATGCAGTCATTTTTTGGAGTAGTCCAGGAGTTTACCTCCTTATCTTCCTTTTGGATATGAATGTTAAAGAAGCACTGCAGAGTTACACATGGAATTAATGGAGGCTCTGTGTGCGTATTTCCTTTTATTTGGAAGCCAAATTAATTTTCCTCCTCTGTGCGCGAAATGCAGATTAAAACCTCTTAACTTTTATTCTCCCGGGATGATGATTGATATAAAAATTGGATCACCATCCCTAAGCATCTTTGTTTAAATGTTTTGGTAATAGCAGAGGAGGTGGAGAATCTTTTCAAAATCTTATCAGCTGTATTCCTCACATAATTTGCATTAGTAGAGTATTATATTCTTATGACAAGCGCAGTAATTTAAAAATCCCTCCTCCTGCAGTTACAGCTCGCTTCAGTTATGTATTTCAGGCCATGGCTGCAATAGCTTTCTACTTTGACCCCAGTATGCAGCTAACTAGCACTTGTGTCTTCACTTCAGTAGTTGCTAACAATAGCTTTTTGCAGTTCCGTATTCCCAGGTTGATTCAGACAACCATTTTGCCTATCAAGCAATTACTTTCAAAGGCAGTGACCTTCAGAGTCACCAACTACTAGGTCTCAGAAATTGTGTCAAGTGTGAAGCCTGTCGTATATTGGAACCCTTCTGAGAATTACAATATTAGACTGAATCCTCCTTATTGTATAATTACAAATATCTACCATGCATCAATAAAACTGGTTCTTAGATGCAATCTTTCCTGAGTTGTCACAGAAAAAACTCTTTAGGGGTGATTTGTTAATTTTACAGATTTTGTTATGCTGCACTTTGAATTTTTGTTAATTGTGTTACCTTAGTTTAATAACAGATAACAGTGGTTCCAGTCATTGGGAAAAAATGGTAAATAGTAAAAGTAGAAGTATATAGTGATTGATTGCTAATACATGTGCATCAGCACATATCTATGAAGGCATTATAATCATATTCTCAATAGTAATATGAGGACAACATTGTATTTTCTTCTCTGAGACTAGTTTTTTTTACCAGTACTGTACCATTTCAGAAAACTAGTACTCGACTAGAAAACAAGATTGTTGCTTTTGATTAGCAGTTTGTATGTATATTTGAAAAACAATTATTATTAGAAGTTTAAATGTTAAGGTGTTTAAATATTATTATTATTATTTGTTTTCTAGTGTGATTTCTTGCCTGAATGCTCAATGATTGGCAAGTGACATTTAAAATTTGTATTCATACAACTGTATTAATATTAATACACATTAATTTGAAAAAAATACAAAAATAACTAAATTTAGTAGAATGCAGCTCCAGAACCCTTCCCCACTTTCTTTATTTAAAACATGTATTATGCATTAAATTCAGTTACCATTTTGTCATTGTCTTTAGTTGAAAGTAGGTTAGACTCTAAACTACCTTGAGTACAACTGTAGAAAACTAAACTCTTTCAGTTTCACGCCTTATGGAACATTTTTCTCTTCAGTGTGATTCAGCCTCCCATCGTTCAAGATGGCGTCCATGTCTCTCGCTCTCTTTCTCTCAGTCTTGGTATCAAATGTTTTGTCTCTTGCTTTTGTTTCTGTCAACGCAGGATGCTGACATGTTGGCAGGTGATGAACAAGCTTGGAAAGAAGCCAAAGAAGTTATAAATAAAATGGGAGCTCCAAAATCCAAAGAAGGTATCCTTTCAATGACAAAGTAATGGTCAACAGAAAATGACTTCCCTGTGTGAGCCAGGAGCACACACAGATGGATTTCTGTGCTTCATTTGTTGACTGATCCGTTGTTTTTTTAAATGTATACCCTACTTTTCCATAAATAATATACTTTGGGAATTTCATTTTTTTCCCCGCTGCACTATCTAAAATATATTTGAACACATCCTGATGAAGACTTGTATAGGTTGGAAACTGGCTATTTAAAAAACAGTGGTCTAATAAAGGTGTCACATGCCCTTGCTTTGATACTTAATGTGGAAAACATTGGCAACAAAAAGTGACATAGGAGTACAGAACTATAAAAGGAAGTAAAAACCTGGTTTAATTAAAATAAAGCTGAAAGCAGACTCAGCAGCTTCTCTCAAATCCTTATCACATATTTCTGAGGGCACGTAGACTGAGAGAAGGGCCTCTTCTGAATGTCTAAGAGCCTTGGCAGGTTCATATGGGAGACTGCTGTCCCTCAGATAGTTTAATTTCCCCTTGCACTGTGGGTTCATGAAAATGACCATGTTCCCTGTTTCTTTTTAGCAACGATGAATACATGGAGGAGGTACAGTTACACATTTCCAACATTATATCTAATTTGGCCTTAATTAAATGAACACTTTTCATTTCTCGTTCTCTGATACCATTTTGTGACTTTAGGGTCCTACACATCTCCTCACCATTTCCTTACCAACTGCCAACCAGGAAATCACATATTCTTGGAAATTTAGAACATCAGTGGGATATTTTGAAAGATATCTTCATGAATGAAAGTGATAAAAAAAAACCTGAACAGATAACTATTGTGTGCACCTGGTCTTTTATCTTGTGTGCTAACATAAGTGAGGAAGCTTTTGAAATGTTTAATAATTGAATCATAACAGTGCCTTTTATCACATAGATCACTAAACTAAAAGCATTTATATGTGAAGCGGAGAGCTTCCTCTTGGTCAATTAAAATAGGACAAAATTCAAAGTCAAAAGAAATGACTATTACCTGTCCATGAGCTGGGCTTTAATTTTTGTAGAAACACTAACACAGGAAGGATACGTCAAGAAGATCAGTTATTACAAGAAAAAATGCTTCAGAAAAGAAATTATGTATTGAGCTACCTTCAGTTTTGTATTATCAGTTGGTAAGAGGGTATTTGTGTAATAATTGCCTTTATGATTTACGAGTGAGAAATAGAAACTAAATAGAAGCAAAATGTTTCCAAGCTGAAGGATTCTGTGATATACCGGTATGTATATAAAATAATATTTCCCATCTGCTTTTGCTTTTGTTTGCTGATGATGGGGATCAGTCCTTAACCCAAATAAATGACAGAGTGGGAGCAGGTTTTGTTGATGTGCCAGACATTTTTAAGGAACAACTCCTCTCAGCTCCCAGACACAAACATATACCAACTAAAAGTACTTGACCTTGCTATGGATGCTTGTATAAACCTTGGCCTTTTGGAGGAAGCTTTGAGTTATGGTAACAGAACCTTGGAGCCCTACAGGTAAGAGGCATTGCTAAACAATCTTCTGAAGTATTCTGTCCAGGAATGAGAGAGTCATTGTTTATTTTTTGTATGGTCTTGACCAAGAACTGGGATAATGGTTCTCACCTCAGATGTTGATCAAACTTTAGAGATATATGAAACCCTTTTGTGAATTACTTAGGTTCATATTTTGTGCTGACCAATACCATAGGTCTCATCTATATACGTCCAAAATATAACAGGCTTTTATGTATTAAGAGAACATATACATGGTATGAATTAGGCCCAGTTCTCCACAATATTTTATCATCATAGCTATGACAATCTGCAATATTGTGGAACTTTCCCCCTTACCACTCACATCTTCCTGTACCTGCAGATAACTGTCTGTATACAAATATATGCTACCTTTCCATAACATGGGATTTTAAATGACCCAATATTTTATTTACATCCGTAGACAGTGGCAATGAGATGATAAAGAAGAAACAATTCATAAGCCTTGTGCCAGATGCCATTTGATTAATATTTGCATTTCTTACATCTATAAACAATGTAAAAAACATTATGATGATTGGCAACTTCACAATCAGTACAGTATCTTCAAATATTACAAGTGGGATTTTAGCTGTTTCTACCCATTTACTCAGGGAAGAACATATGTTAGGATGCATAGAATTTTGGTGTGTTCTAAAGTCTAAAGGGCATTCAGAGGTCATGGTGGCAATAGGGGTTGACAGGATTTAGATTGCTGTTAAGTTGCCTAATAAATCTGAAGAGGCCATTTTCATTTTGATTTTTTTTTTTAAAAAGGGAGAATAGAGGGAGGTTACTAAAACATTTGTGTTTGAATGTTTCACATGAAGATGGTGAACATGAAGAAATGCTGCTATAAATGTTCACTTTAGATACTTAAGTGGTCATTTTTGAAACAGCAGGCAATGACTTACCTGCAACATTTCATTACATTCCAGCTAGGTTAAAGGAACTTTTTCCTGCTAGCATAAAGGAACCTAGCCATGCAGCCTTCCACACCACCGAAAAGCTGGCCCCAAATAGTTTTTCAGTGTGGTAGAATCAATTTGGAGCTGCACAGGAGTGGTTGTTGGGGGATTGCCTCTCCACTATCACCTCCGTTCTAGTGGTGGGACCTGTTTCATCAGTGGAAACTCTCCACTTGAACTTGGCTGGAGTTTCCTTCCAGTTTTTCAGGTTGAACAGTCATGTGAAAATTTCTTCCCAGTAAGACTGAAAATAAGCATCCACTAGAAAACATTTCAAAATTAGCAATGACTATAAAGTATAAGGTAATAAGCATCCACTAGAAAACATTTCAAAAATAGCGATGACTATAAAGTATAAGGTACGTGTGTGTGCATATGTGTGTGTGTGTGTATATGTGTGTGTGTGTGTGTGTGTGTGTGTGTGTGTGTGTGTGTGTTAGAGAGAGGGAGAGAGAGATGTGATAGTTTCATGATTCCTATCTCTTATCCACACAAGTGTGTGTGTTAGAGAGAGAGAGAGAGAGAAGAGGAGAGAGAGATGTGATAGTTTTGTGATTCTTATCTCTTATCCACACAGTGGCTTCTCAATCTTCTGGAAGAAACTGAGTAATTGTGATGCTATCATACCACATGATGGTTTGTTCTTTTTTTACCTATCTCTGGCTTCAATCTAGAAAGGCAAATCCACAGTTTTAATGTCCAATACAGTTGCATTTTATAGCTAAAGAGCTAACATAAAGATACTGATTTAATTCAAGGTAGCCAGTGAATCTATGGCAAAATTGGGACCAAAAGTGGCCCATAGGCAGTTATGGTTAAAGACAACATTTTAACATAGCATAAAAGAAGCCCGGGGGGGGGGGGGGGGGGAGTGGTGGCGNNNNTAATAAAACAGATTTGGGTCACTGCAAGGCTGGATTGGGCTTCATAGTGATTTTGTTGAAAAAAGTGTTAACTGTGGAATAACACTATTAGTACCAAAGAAGAAATATGATGAATCAGGCCAAAGGCCAGTCTAGCTGAGGATTCTGTTTCCTCCATCAACATGGCAGCCAGAGGCCAATAAGAAGCCCACAAGTAGACACATACTAAGTCACTCCTGCTTGGGTTTCCCAGAAACTGGTATTGACAGACCTATTAATAGTTGAAGTAATATATAGCATGATGAGTAGTACCCATGGAACTCTTGTTTCCCATGGATTTCTCTAATTTCACTCACTTCAGAGGGAGGGAGAAATAGTAACTCAAAATTACCTTCCTTATTTATTTCCTATTTTTTCCTGTTTCTGTTCAGCGGTGTGTCTTTTCCCCATTAACCTGCAGAGCTTGAGCTGGAGAGCAACAAAAGTGCACATCATTTACAGTGCAGAAAGTACGGTCACAGAAAACAATTTTGGTTGTACCCATCATTTCAAATTCTCTTTGTTTGATTAATCGTGTATGTCATAATTTCGAATTACTTACTTTAGACAAGCGTCCTTCCCACCACGCAGCATCTATACAGACCCATGGCACGTTGTGTTAAAATGACTTTGATGGAATGTCCCTGGCATGGGAAGGCTGCTGCCCTTGTACCTTGGAGATGATGCTCTTAGTCTCACCAGGTGCAAAAGCATTTCCTGAGGAGAGACAATTTCTGCCTGAGTTCTTTTTTACCTTCAAGCCATCACTACAAGCTTTGACGTACCTGACAAAAAATCTTCCGTTTCTCATTACAAGAAGTTGCGCCTGGAGCAGCAGGGTATCAAATCGGAGGAAATCTGTTGGAGTGCATTGAATTTCTCCAGTTGAATCAATCTACTGCTTGACTGCTCCTGCAGTTCCATTACGGCTATCTATTTTCCTTCTCTCCATTCTGAGGAGAGAAAAAAAATATTCATATTGCTATCTGCAGGGAATAACCTGAACAACAAGCCATCCATACAAATCGGAGGCAGTATGTCCACCTTTAAAGGAGTCTGAGGAATTGGTCTGAAACCATTTTAACTTCAGAATCTATATTTACATTGCGTGTTTCCATTACGTGATCAGTAGATGTGACATCCTCAGCAGTGCACTAAGTGCAGTTTTTGAGCATGTTTTCTTTGTAGTTGTTGCTGTTTTTATTTAACAACCATATGTGTTCAGTCATGTCTTCAGGTTTCAAGTGTTGGTTTCTTACTTCACTAAGAAGGACCAGAATCGTGTACACCAGCCTTCACCATCATTGATATTCAGTCATTCTGCCAAGCAATAATGGGTGTTTCTTACTTCACTAAGAAGGACCAGAATTGTGTACACCAGCCTTCTCCCACTTGGAGAGCTCCCACCATCATTGATATTCGGTCATTCTGCCAAGCAATAATAGGAGTTCTTGTCTGAAATACACAACTGCCATTTGTCTGAATAGCACCAAGTTGGGGAAAGGCTATAAACAAATTTTGTCTGAATAGCACCAAGTTGGGGAAAGACTATAAACAACATATTCCTTCTCAGAGAGAAGCCGCACACAGCTAAAACAGCAGCCTCCCTACAGTGACGTTTGCAAAAAATGTGAAGAAGAAGGAAAGATAATGCCCAGGCCCAAACACTCCAGTAAGGAGTGAGTATGCTGAGTAACAGCAAAATGCAGCCAAAGGGGATTAAAAGATCAGGGTGGAATGGAATGGAATGGAATGGCATCTTGAAGAGGAATATTCCACTGTACAGTCTCTTCTACCATAGATATGTAATGTGTATACAACAAATATGTGTATACATCCAAATGGCCAGATTTAGCATATCTTGATCCCCTGATTTTTCATTAAGTATTTCTGTAATAAAAAGCAGGTATGCTTTCTAAGTGTGTAGTTTGTTAAATTTGGGAGTACAGTCAGTGGCTAGAATAAAAAAACTAAGGGCTGCTTAGGGACTTTTTTCTCTTGATCAAAGAGAAGTGTTAGTGGGCAAAGAGATAAATCTTTGACATAACAAACACACTGTATCTGGTTCTCTGTAGTGTTTTTTAAAAATCCTTTGCTCAATTTTGAAAATATTGCAACAAAGAAAATCTAATGGAGTGGTATATATTACCACTAGGTGCTGCTATTGTTTAAAAGTTAATGTCTATGAGCCAGTGAGCAATTCCTATGGGTGTTGGTTTCCCTAGAATATTGTGATTAGGGTTTTACCTGAAATTACTTGTAAAAAGGCTACAAACAAATCAGTGCCTTTTTTTGGAAGGTTTGCACAAAAATAGTTAAACATTTAATTTCAGAGGTGTAGCCCTCTGTAAGGCTCATCAATATCAACATGGCTGCCACATAAAATTTGCAGTGTTTTTCATAGTTCAGCCTTTTCATACATGAACTCATAGAGTGTCATCTTTATCTATACGGCGTTGAACCTTTGGGTTCAGAAAACTTTCGGAACCAGATGGTTAGTGAAAAAAGAGGCTGCTAGATTCAAAGGAAATAGCCAAAATGCCCTACAATCCGTGTTTCATGGATAAAAGCCTACAGAGGTTCAAAGAGCTGTTTTGGAGCCAAGGGACATCAACTGGATACAACCCATCTACATTAAAGACTTCAAAGTAATAAAAATACATTTTCAAGATTTTTATTCTTAACATAGCCATACTATTCAGCCTTGGCCTTCTTTCCTTAGACAAGGATCTTGGATCCTTTTTAAGGAGAAAAACAGGATAAAAATATTTTAAATAAATAAACAAGGATTCCAATTGAAACAATCTATGATTTGTTTCTTTGTTTGTTTCACTTATGTGCCACCTTTCTGCCAGAAGTGGAGGTCTAAGGTGACATACAACCTTGTGGGTTGTGTACTGCCCATAGGCTCAAGGTTTACCATCCTTGTTTTAGATGTTGTACTGCTTGTATTACAAATGTCACTCTTGGGATTCTTGTGTCAAAGAATGCAAGAGTCATTCTCCACAAAGTGAAAATTTGCTTATTACTACAGGCCAAGGTCTTTTAATGTATCCAGAATATATAACGTCTTAAGTAAATTACAAAATTGATAGTCCAAGTCCAGTTGTTT